GTTGTCGGGGAGAGCTGAAGACGTCAAATTTCTGCACCACAATTGACAGGAGAACAGTGGCTGCTGTCTAGTAAGGCAGGATGTGTGTGTGGAGGGGTTTGGCCAGAAGACACTACTTAATTATGCTTAACAAAATAGCTGATCTAGAAACTCAGCCATCATTTTTTGACAGTGAGAACTGGTGCAAATGGAGAGGAATTAAAATGGAACCCAGAAGGTTGAAGGGTGTTAGGAGGTGTATACAAATTCTAGCAAAAGGCTGGAGAACATCTTTCACCCTAAGGACAGAATTCTGTTTCATAGAAGCTCATAAAAGTTTACATTCCAGTGGCAGGTAGGGCAAAGACTAAATGCATGGGGCCAAAAAATACAAGCATAGTTTAGCTAGAGGTTTAGCTAAAAGTTCTTCCTCCTGGTAACTAAGCCTTAGGAGGGACATTTCAACCTTTTAGAATATGGAGGGGAATCATATATAACCCATGAAGCCATCACTTGGTGCCATGGAGAAGGGAGCATGGCCATCTGAAGAAATCAAGAGGGCTTGTTTCTCTCCAAGGCCCGAGTTTCCACACCTCTGGTCTGGGAATAAAGGGTAGGAAGCTATGAAGCTATTACCCACAAAATCTTTGAAAGTTTTTAGTGCCTTTGGTGTTTCTGATAAATTCTAGGAATTTTTGTGTATTTCTTAACTTAATATTATTATCTTAAACAAAGGAACAACAAGCTCTGTATAATAAAGAAAAAGTTTAAAATGCAACTTAGATGTGCATGATTGTACTTTGGAGCCCTTTATAGCATGTTCATCTTGCTCCATGAGCTGGTCATCTCTTAATTTACAAGGTTACAAAATGTATAGTCCTGCTGATCACAGCATGTGGCTTTTTCACCCTGGTCACCCTGATTGTTGCATGTTTTCCCTTTCAGCTATTCCCTCCAAAGAAATAATTCCAGGTGGAACAAAACTCCCAGTGCTTGAAAAGTAAGTTTCTTCTCTTATTGCTTTTTGGCTTTTCAAATGCTGTATACAGATGTAGATAGCAGGTTAGTTTGCTCTGTAGTATGTAGTGATTTTAAATTCCCCCCCAGATGTTGGGGGGGTATAGCTGCCCTAATAATTTTCTCAGGCTGATTGGTCATCTCTTCAAGAGCTGGTCGGATGAACCTCCTGGCTTGGGTTTTTAACTTTCACTTTCCCTCAAGGCATACTCCGTGGTTGCAAATGGTTCCAATGTCAGTAGGATGTTGAAACTGCTTTAGGGCTTAAGTCTGAAGATTAAAGGAATTAGACAAGGTTCTGCAAGAGCCAGCATGATGTAGTGGATGAAGTATCAAGTGAACATGAGATCCATTGGTACATCCAGCTGTAAATGGTTCATTTCAATTAGTGGCAACTCTGTGGGAAATAACCTTTTCCTTCTGCTGCCTGTCCTTGTTTTAACTGGCTGTATTAAAAGAAGAACATCTGCATGCCATATAGACCATATCTATTTTCCCTTTGAATGAGGATCCTCGCCCTTGCCTTATACAAACAAGACAAAAATTGGACTGGACAGGTATCTGCCAGTAACAGCTGAGATATGTTCTGCCTGTTGAAGGAGTGTGCATTTACAATTACAGTGGACTCTCCACATTTGCTGAGGTTAGAGGCACAGAGTCCTTGTGAAAGTGGAAAAACTGCAAATAAAAACCACTATTTTTCACACCTGAAAGAACACTTCTCTAGGAATTTCTAGGTCTTCCAGGGCAATTCTGTGGTCAAGAACTGCCAGAGGTTGAACATGAAATTACTCTGGAGAACCTACAAAAGCCTAGAGAAGAATCTCTAGGTCCTCCAGCATGACTTTGGGCAGAAGTTGACTACAAAGTCATACTAGAGGACCTAGAAATTCCTTGGGAGAACATATTAATCAAATCCATTAATAATCAAATCCGCAAAAGTCAAAGCCACAGGCATAGAGGACCAGCTGTACAACATCATCTGGGGTGGAGATTGCGCCCTCTTTCCTGAATTCCTCCCATGTACAGAACAGCAGCTGGGAAGTGGGTGTTTTCCCAATTGCCCTGACTCTCTGGCCACTCACTGACCAGGTTTCTCTCCCCTTGAGTAGCCAAGAAAGAAGGTGCCGTCTCTGCTGTCAACATTATTATTATTTTTTATTTTATTCATTTATATCCTTCCTTTCTCCTGATAAGCTGATTCAAGCTGGCTAACAACATATTTTAAAACAGTACACATTAAAAACTATACAAAAACATCAATAAAAGTATGACTATAGGAGTTATTTTTAAAAAGAATTAACAATATATAAAGTTAAAACATTAAACATTAAAATCAATTTAAAGACTCCATTTGTTGTTGTTGTGTGCCTTCAAATCATTCCCAAATTATGGCGCCTCTAAGGAGACCTTGTCATGGGATTTTCTTGGAAAGATTTGTTCAGAGAAGGCTTGCCGTTGCCTTCCCCTGAAGCTGAGAGCATGTGACTTGCCCAAGATCACCCAGTGGGTTTCATGGCTGTCTGGGAAATCAAATTGGTCTCCAGAGGTGTAGTCCAACACTCAAATACAAACCTTTAAAATGCTGAGGTAAAAAATACTTTTTTAAAAAGACATCAACTCCAGTGGAGCAGACAAAAGCAGATTCTCATTGAGTGCAGAATACTTTAATTTTAGAAACAGCCCAGTTTCTTTAAAAATGTTTTAACCTACTGAGAGAACGTCAGCAAGGATGGTCAGCACATCCTGACCTCCCTATTGAGGGAGTTCTAAAGTCTGGGAGCAGCCACCAAGAGGGCCCTCTCCCTTATTCTCACCAAATGAGCCCGAGAAAGTTGTGGAACAGAGAAAGAAGCCTCTCCTGAAGATCTTAGAGCTCTAATGGGCACATAAGGTTTCCTTTTTCCCCAGATGCTCAAGGGCAGTTGGAATGAACCCAGGCACACTCCTTGTAGCCAATGAACAGCTGGACAGGTGGAGCTGCACACAGGAGGCCTTGACCCCCACCTGCTGCTGTTGCATGCTGAGAGCAAGATTTGTTACAGAAGGAGGTATTCGACACCTCTTTCCACAGCCCTGCTAAAAGGACATACGGTGGCATACCTAGGGATTACCTCAGCATATGTAACCTACAAAATGCTAACTGATGTGTTAGTGATGAGGAATTCTTCTGCTTTTGAGATAGGATGTGGCTGAACTAGGCGAACTGAGATCTGTTTTGGACTGAAAGCCTTTTTGAGTTCTGCATCCCTTCCTCTCACTTTTTGGGAACTTTCTTCAGCACTTTGGCTCCACTGGAGGGGACACCTCAGTTATTGCCGGACCAACGAGAGGAGGAAGAAAAAGGAGGAGGAGATGAAGAAGGAGAGGAAGATGGTTTGGAAGAGGAAGACAACCTGGCCTATGCAGATGACTTGCAAGATGAGAATTACCATCCTCTAGAGAGGTAAGGAGTTCAGGGAAGAAGTTGGAAAGTTGGGAAGGTGGAGCAGATAAGAGCAGATTCTCATTGAGTGCAGATGCATGATAAATAGGCAAAGAAGTTTATTTTATCCATTCATTCATTACATGATTTCTGTGCTGCCTTTTAGGAAAGTCTTCACAAGACGTAAAGCATCCTCAGATGTGACAGCATAGACCACATGATTTAAAAACTGAAATAAAAACAATGATGCACTTGCAGCACCCTGTGAATTAAAAATACATCCCAGTTAAAATAAAATATTCCTACACCAGAGCAAAGACATTAAATGATTTTTCAATGGAAGGTACCTTGAGGAAAGAGAATAGCCTTTCAGAGATATTCTTTCTGTGCAAACTTAAAAGCCCACAAATGGTCTGATAGTTTGCATTCGTATAATGAGAGAGGCTGAGAGAGACAATGGGGTGAGGTGTACACATGCCTGAAACATAGAGGGGCTTTGTTTTTAATTTTTTAGTTGAGTTTTTAAAAAAGCGTGATTACAAAGAAAAAAAAAGAAGAAAAAGAGAGGAAGGGTGGAGTTCATAACAAATGGGCATGCGATCAGCATTGTCATCAACCATCATCACCATCTTTATACCCTGCCTTTGTCACCAAACTAGGTCTCAAGGCATCTTACAATATAAAACAAGTAC